GTTATGCAACAATAAACTGAAACACCCTGTATATACACTCTTTGACCTTACTGTCTTAGACGGAGGGTTATGTTTTTGACGCATGGGCAGATACTTTTTCACGAGTATCCATTATGTAAAACGAGACAAAAAATAATAGCTAAATATCTAGTAACATTTTAAGATTTCCCATAACGACGAGTACTGACGGATCTCTCAACGCTAGATCTGTGGAGTCATATTTTGTTGTGCTGCTTGTACGCTATGGCTTCATACTTACTAACAATGATTTTATTCACATAGATTCCTCCTCGCACAAGAAAAAACGCTACAAGCAGAATGGCTTATAATAATCGTGTCTATATTTCAAGTCAGGTAGGAGTAACATTCAAATAAACAGTTTTTGACTATGTTTTGGTATTAAATGTTCTGAATACGGTTCCAAGTTTTATCCGATTAGCACCCGTTTCGTTATTGCCAACACTACAGACTTTGATACAAAGGTGATAAGCTGTTCACCTGATTACGGGCGAAAACACAGTGGCCTGTTTTCTGCTTACCGGCAACCAGCGCCGATCGGTACCGAATTTCGGCGCTGGTCATGGACGCAGTACTGATGAAAAAAAAAACAATAAAACCGATGTCTTGTCTATGGGGTCTAGCTCATTTGAAGACGAATTTATTGCATTGGACAGTAACTAAAATAATCACTAGAAAAAAAGTTGGTGTATACCCCATAAAGCGTGAGAGGGTGCATTATGGTAAATATCTATATCTGTTCAAGGCGTTGAAAGATGACCCCGACCGCTTTTTTCAGTATTTCTTTACAACATTTGTCGACTACATTTATGTTACTGTGTTGTTTATTTTTTTTTATCCCATATGGGGTACTCGTATTGTTTGTATACTGATGCGATTAACTTGTCTAAATCTATTATCCACATCAACTTGCTCTGACAACCGGCGAGAAAGAACTAAATAATTATTCCGGTAAAACTGGTAACGCCGACTGCCTGCGCCGACAAGCCTGAGCCTGCCTTGATTGTGTTATTGCCAACTCAAGAGCATGATATTATTATAGAAGCCGGTTGCCGGTTTGCCGGAAACCGGCTTCCACTGTGTTTTCGGCCTAACGTATTCCACCTGAATATTTCTATCAAGTGCGCTCGCAGGAATTTTTCTCACGTTTAGGGGGAAGATCATTAATCGGCAAGAGATAACTGTGTGAAGGTGTACCGACCTCCAAAACTTTTTAAAGAGTGAGACATATAAAAGGCTTGCTAAACATGCGAATTTCAATTTTATGAACCTGTTTGACTAATCTGATCCATTTCATTTTTTTTATACGTCCTAGTCATTTTATGGCTAATGCTTAACGAAAATTAGAATTTTCAAAACTGGTTGTTTAGCATCCTTTGAAGAGATTTAGTTCTACGAGTTTATATTATGCCTCCTACAAATGCGTATCGGCGTCTAGTATGAAGAGCAAAGTCATGTTCCAATCTACATGATGAAGAAGATTTGTATGTCTAAATCGAATCAAATTCGTTAGCCCGACGTGACGATGCATCAACAAAAGATTATGTCTAGGAATACATTTTCACCTGGTTTTATGACTCGGCAGGTTTTAAGCTTGTGTATTTTGGAAGCCCACGCATTTCGAACAATACCATTACGGTGACTGTCGCCAGAAGGATATTATTCAAATAGAAATATTTCAAAAAGGTCTTAATTGTTGAATCGTTTCAGTCAAGTTTCCAAACGTCAAGAAAATGCAAGCGAACGTTTTGGAAGCGATCTACAATATTCAGATTGACATTGAAGTGGAATTATGGCCAACCGGCTGTAGTGCTTAGATATTCATTGCTGAAATGATCGGCACGAGTATCATGTAACAAACCTATAAAACATCACGAAAAACCTATGAGATGTAAACTTGCAGACCAGGTAGTTTTTAGGGCGCAAACAGTCATTCCACGTTTACTTACTAGGATCGTTGTGAACGTCCATCTATGGAGGAACCATTCAACTAGACTACACGCATTACTGGTTGCATATGTTTTGTAAGACTGAGTGGTCTGTGTCCGTAGTTTTTATCTCTGAGAAGAAAGTTTGTTGAATAGCAAGATCGCATCTGGAGGATTATGTGTATTGGTCTGCATGTGTATAAAATCAGTGATATTTGCTGGGTGAGAAAATCATTACTGAATATGCTTCCCATGATGGCTGTACCCGACGGGTTATTTTTATGTTGTGCTTTCTGAAGAGAGGTTATGTTCAAAGTTATAAATTACGAAAAACTGAGGAGAATCACGGGAAATCGTCACCGCGCCCGCGTTGTGTGTAATTACTGTTACCACGTATATGGCTTGTAATTCGACAGTGTACAGTGAATATAATTATTTCTTATCTCTCTCATTTTTGAAATTCAGCAAATTTGTATATGTAATTTCCAGAATGGATAAGAAAAAGTGGATGCGCAACTAATTTCTAGCTTTGAATCTCAATTAAGTGTATTTGAGACATGAACCCAATGTAATTATGATCAACACATACATCTTACAGCTTAGACTTCCAGTAATGCCATCTTAGAAGCAGATTTTACATCACATTAGAGCCAAAGATTGATAACAAGCCTCATGACGTGTAGGCAACACGTACAACTAAGTGCTAAGTTAACATCTTGTAGAAAAACCTACATAATATAAAAAAAACAGCATAACGTCAAAAAAAAATCGGCATAATGTCACTTTTAAAGATACGTGATACCCGTGCGGGACCGTTTTTTAGCTTGAAAACGCTCTTCAAAATGAAGCAAATCATGTACAACAAAAGCTTTAAGCGTTTGGTTTAGGGTATTCACGTTACTCTGCGAATGACGCAAGGTTATCATTCTTTAATTTTGGCACAAAATAATAACAAGTTAGACTTCTGAGAGGTGACAGCCAGATTGTGATCAGACGAATGTTGGATTAAATTATTAACATCATTTGGTAAAACTTCTACATTATTTTCGACATTCTGGGGATTAAAATAATATAACCACTGAAGACCCAAGTGGATAAAGGTGTCATGTAACATTTTTTTAGATTGCTTTTTTCAATTAACTAACCTTAGCGAGTGATTCTTTCATTCTGTGATTACTTTGTTGCAAAAACAAGATAATAACGAACTAATTAAACTAAATATTTGAAATGTCAATGAAGTAGAAAGTACCAATAAAAAATGCAAAATGCGTATCGTCTGCGAAAGGTTGGATATGTATGTGTATCAAGGATTTTGTTCAAGTGAAAAGTATATATCAGAAATAATAATGGTCCTAACTCAGAGCCTTGAGGCACGCTTGAGGGAATTCCAGTCATATAAGAATATTTTTGATCGATGCAAACAAATTGCGTCCTTTGACCAAAATAACTTCTAAAAAATAAAATATCTAAACTATCAATTCCTATTTAGATAGCAGCAATTCATGGTTGATGCTGTCAAGAGGTTTCTAGATATTTGTAGATATTAACGTAATGCGATTTTCTTATCTAAGGCTTCTAAAATATTACCTTGCAAATCGAAAAGGATTGTTCTACAGTTTTGTCTAAAACCAGATTGGGTATCAGGAATTATTGAGCATTTTTTTCAAGATAAGGGGTTAGTTACAATTTTACCAGTTTCTCCAGTATATGAGACAAATTTGGTAGTAAACTGGTAAGTCTTAGGTCTTCGAATTCAGAGGGTTTAATCTTTTTGGGGATTGATACAATCAAAGCTTTTTTCCATTATGATGGAAGGTACTCCTGTTTTGAAAATCATTAATAATGTCTACCGGTAGGCATAATCGGATCATTGACAAAGATAAGCCGTCAGTTCCCTTTGTATCCGACTTTAGTGACTTTATTGCTTGTAATACGGCACTCGACTGAATTTTGCTCAATGAAAAAGAGAGTTCTGGATATAACTTATTCTTGGACTAATATTCGGTAACTTGCAGACTAACAGATTGATTAGACAGGTATGAAATAATCATTAATATTGATCGGATCAACGAAATATTTGGTAGAGTTGCTTTATTACGGAAACTTATATCTAGCCGTCTAAGGCAGTCCCACTTTTTTCTTAATCATTTTGATTTTCTTGTCATTTTTGAAGCCCGATTCCTTATCTACTTGAAATTTTCATAATTATGTTTCGGCGGTTCTTTCGGCTTTGTATGAAGTTTGAGCGGTATTTTTCTCTTTGAGGATAACTCGTAGTTCGTCACTTGATGGCTTGTTATAGTCTTAAATAGTGCACGTTTATTAAAGATTTTCAAAATTGGGTTTGTGGGGTGATTAACCTTCTCTTCAATTCTTGATCGAATGAATAATTCATCTATTGGGGACATACATAGAACGATAAAAAACGCATTTCCACTGAAATTTGTTGAAATCCCGGATTGTAATATATACTAAGTGACATATAAATCCGAACACCCAGTTTAAATGGTTTTATTTTAATAAAATTTTGTATAGCTCCTTAATGAAGCATAATAAGTAAATGATAAAAATTTCAAATTGATTGCACTGCTTTAAAGCCCTTTGACCTTTAATAATGTGTGGACGCACCCTGATGTGCTACGCATTCTCCAACGTGCCTAGGCATGCTTCTGATCAGGTGGTCAATGTCCTCCTGTGGTATCTCATTCCAGGCAACCACCAACTCCTCTGCTTCTAGAGTCTGAGGAGGACGTTGCAAATTGAGCAATCTCCTACCCATCATATCCCACACGTGCTCAATTGGGGATAAGTCGGGAGATCTTGGTGGCCATGGTAACAATGTGACATCATTATGTTGAAAGAAGTCTATTAGCTATGTCCACACTGTACCTTTTCATCGTCAACTTTCGTCTTCATCTTTCTATTCGACTTTCGTTTAACACTTACAATAAGTGAATGCGTTAAATGAAAGCAACACCATAGTTTAGTCGTAGTTTCTGTCATAATTTGGAAACATGTGCGACGAGAATATTTTACTTGGTGGAATATGTGCAGCTTACTTGGTTATCAGAAATTCCAGTAAAAAAAGAACCAAGAGAAAGTTTTGGATACGAGGTTATTATAATAATCGAAGTAACGTGATTATGAGTGAACTAAGAGAAGATAAAGATATTCATTTTAAAAATTTTACACGCATGTCCGAAAAAAAATTTGATCGACTTTTGAAATTGCTTAAACCAAAAATTACAAAGCAGTCAACCCAGTTACGTGAAGCTATACCTAGTGAAATAAAGTTAGCAATAACGCTAAGGTTTTTAGCTACTGGAGACAGTTTAATGTCCCTTTCGTTTTTATTCAAAGTATCCAAACAACTCATATCAGCAATGCTACCAGATGTATTAAAAGCTATAATTGAAGTACTCAAGGATTATATTAAGGTAAGTAACAGTTTCGTTTATTAAAAAACACAACCATAATCATTTTTTAAATAGAACAAATTCAGAAATATTGCTAATATCTATAATGTTTGAATCAGCCTGTGTCTCCGGTATCTCCGTAAAATTATGTATCTCAGTCATATTCCGCATATCAGAAACATTATGTATCTCAGTCATATTCTGTATCTCAGTCGCATTCCTCATCTCAGTTCCATTCCGCATCTCGGTAACATTATGCGTTGCTGCTGCACCAGTTATCTGTTGCATTTCCAGATTAAAGAGTATATTGTTTATGCGTTGTTGAGCTATAAGCCGATTAAATGTATTAAGGTTTCGAATTTTATGAGCTATCAATTGTCCATAAGTAGTGAACTCATCTTTTTGACTTAATTCTTCACTAGCTTTTTTCATAAAATTGTAAGCTTCCGCCTCTTTATCGTCAATCGCTGTACTTTTAATATTTCTCTTCTTTCTTATTGGTGGTAGGGTAAATTCATGCTCGTCTTCAGATATACACGTAGACTGCGAAGTCGCAGAGTTTTCTCTATTTAATATTTCAGCCGGCGTGTCCTGCAAAAAATATAAATCGTACTGAAATCCTTTTTTTTGTTTGTTTTTACAGTTACCAACAAACGAGGAGCAATGGAAAGCGATTGCGAATGATTTTGACAAGCGATGGAACTTTCCACATTGTATTGGCGCCATGGATGGAAAACATGTGGTCATCCAAAGACCAGAAAATACAGTGGGCGAATTTCATAACTACAAAGGAACACATAGCATAGCATTGTTTGCAATTGTAGATGCAAACTATTGTTTTACATATGTTAATGTTGGTTTTCAGGGTCGTATTTCGGACGGTGGTGTTTTCAAATCCACTTCATTTTATAGGCAAATTGAAAAACACGAATTTAATTTACCAAATAGTGAACCACTACGTGGTAGAACCATGTCAGTACTTTACGTATTAGTTGCTGATGATGCATATGCACTAAGTACCTATACTCTGAAACCATATTCAACCGATTTAAATGTGGGGTCATCAAAAAGAGTGTATAATTATAGGTTATCAAGGCCAAGACGTATCGTTGAAAATGCGTTTGGGCTTCTCGCATCTGTATTCAGAATATTCCGTAAGCCCATTGAATTAAAAGTCGACAGTACTGTAATTGACGTTGTTTTGAGTTGTGTTTAAATACACAATTTTCTACGAATGCAGACAGATTCTACACGGGATTACTGCCCTGAAGGTTGTTTTGATAATGAGGATGTAGTTATATAGCGAGAGCCCCTCGTATATCTTCCTAATAGCTATAATTATATCTTATCTTAGTAAACAACCCTATGTTATATATTGATGGTTGTGCCCTTCAGGCATCAGTTTAATCCTATTACTCTTGCATTGAACTCACTTAGGTTAGGTTTGCTAACATATCGTTGTTAGTCTAAACATTATATTTATAGTAGAATAAAGTATCAAATTGCTTGTAAGTCGTTTTTAAAAACACGATTCCGCGACGCGATACCATCATTGGCGCAGCTAGCAGTAGGATCAGAAGACTGGATCAGAACTCAGCAGAGGACTTCCAGGCTGATTTCAATCACTAACTTCTGGAACCGACGAGACCAGGAAGATCAAGAGAAGCCCAAGGACGAAGATCGACGCCAGAGTGCTGTGTCTTCAAAGTCTGAAGGTAATTCAAGTCGAATTTTCCTTGTCTCTCCTCTCACCTTCTTTTTTAATTTAAGATTTTTGGTGCAGTTTTGTAAAATTTAGATTTTGCTGAAGATTGCTCAAAACATTAGTATTAAGTTAGTTCTCGTTCAAGAGCTACATTTTTGAAGAGAACTTAATTTTAGTAAATTTGTCGAGAGCTACATTTTCGATTTAGATTAGTTACTATTTTTTTAAATTTTTGCCGGTTGCAAAATTATTAATTATAAGGAAATTTTCACGTTAAAATAAGACTTAGGTAGAATCTCATTAAATTTTATTACATTCGTATTCACTTGGTATTTTCACATTTTCATACTTTTACATTTTTAATTTTTACACATTTTACATTTTTTATAGACCATAACTTTATGCAAGATTCTAATTCGGCTCTAGATACCATTACAAACTTATTAGAAAACATGTCTCTTAATAACAGTACAATCACCGTTCCAAGCATACACGCCGCAAAAGCTATTGCAGATTTTCTGCCATATTTCGATGGTGATACCCAACAATTGGAATCATTCATCTTTAGATGCGAAAAATTTTATAATAATTATGGTAGATCAAACGATTCCAGTTTGAACGATTTCGTCTTTAATGCAATTTGTTCAAAACTAAAAAGTAACGTTTACAACTTTTTAATGTGTAGACCAGATCTCATTTCTTGGCCTCTAATTAAAAATGCACTCAGAGAGCATTTCGGTGACAAAATTGACAGACAAACCCTTACGAGAGAATTTCTGCAATTTTCAAAATATAGAAATGAAACCATTTTGGAATTTTTAGGAAGATTAAAATTAATTAAATCAAGAGTTGAAGTTAAAATCCAGACAGATCCTTCACTCACCCCTGATCAGAAAGTTTTACTTATCAGCCAAAATGAATTGAATGCACTAGACGTATTGACCGCAAATTGTGACGATAGACTTAGACTTCTGTTAGACATTCAACAGCCCTCCGACTTATCAGATGCGACCAACGTAGTTACTAAACATTTCTACAATGAGATGAGAATAGATGCACTGACAAAAAGACAGAATTTCGGACATCCTAGCCACTTTCAATCACATTCACATAAACCTAGACGTTACAATTATAATAACTCATCACGCCAAAATTATTACCCATCTCAAAGATACAACCCTTCATACACTCAACCTAATACCACACATATTAATTATCAACAACCACCAGCCATACATGAACAATTTCCTTCTCAGGAGTTTCACGCTCAATATTCACCACAAAATCATTTTACTCAGACACATCAACCTTCCTTCAATGAAAGTAGACAATTTCCATCTCAATCGATTCCATTACCAAAACCCCTTCCAATTAAACAAAACTTCCCGACAAACAGACAGGTATTCGGACCACCTCAGTCCCAACGCTCAACAAATGTTTTTCGCCCCAAAAACTCATATAAACCAGCACATAATCCAGAACCTATGGACACGTCTTCAAGACAATCAAACAGACAAAACCATAATCACTTTAAACCTTCCGGACCCCGAAACTTCATTTCACAAGAAGTATATCATGCTGAAGAGCCTGAAGTACACTCTCATTATTCGCAACATACTTATCAATATCCTTCTCAATATCCTTCCCAAAATTTTCCTCAGTATGACCAAGATGACCAAGATGAACCTTACAATAATCAAGAATTATATTCTGAGAATCACAATTATTATTCAAATAACTCTCAAAATCAACATTTTCGAAAAGGATCCTTCGACAGATTCAAGATAGACCTGAACAATATCAATCTAGCCAACTCTCTCCCATATATCCAACTCCGAAAAATCCCAGTAAAATTACTCATAGATACAGGTTGCCACGGTTCCCTCCTTAGACCTTACATCGCCGAAAAGTTTTTCCCAGATCAAATTTTCCATTACAATACGCCCATTTCCACTTGCGCAGGCACAAAGACCAGTCAGTTTAAAGCCTCTATCCCACTACTTGAAGAATTAGGTATTCCCGATGAATTCGAATTTATTCTTTTTCCATTTCACGAATACTTCGACGGAATCATTGGAATCCGAGATTTGAGAAAATTAGGATTAACAGTAGATCTCGAAAATCAATTACTCAGAAACCCTACTCTCCAAATCCCATTTCAATTTCGGACTGATTTTGACATCCAAAAAATAGAAATTCCCCCTAGATCAATCGTAGCAAAAGAAATCAAGACTTCTCTTCCAGAAGGTACTGAAATAATTTTAGATTCTGTTCTTTATAAGAATGGTGAAATTGAATTACCCAGTTGCATTACCAAAGTAAAAAACCAGAAAGCCACTTTAGAAATTAAAAACAACACCAATTATTCTCAAGTTTTCATTTTAGATCAGGACTTCCTCCAAAATTTTGGAACCATTTTCAACACTCACGATTACGAACTTTTTTCAATGGAAAACCACTCAATTAATCCCACCCCTGATAACTCATTACCCTTATCATTTGATCTTCTTAGAACCAACCATTTAAATTCAGAGGAAAAACAAGAACTGCGGAAAGTTGTTTCTGAATTTTCCGGAATTTTCCACTCAGAAAATTCCCCCCTCACATTTACTAACAAAGTCAAACATGAAATTAGAACGACTGACGACATCCCTATCCACACTAAGTCATACAGGTATCCCTACGTTCATAAACAAGAAGTATCTAGACAAATTGAGAAAATGTTAAACGACGGTATCATTAGGCCCAGCCAAAGTCCATGGAGCTCTCCAATTTGGATTGTTGCAAAAAAACTAGATGCTAGCGGCAAACAAAAGTGGAGAATTGTTGTCGACTATAGGAAACTTAATGAAAAAACCGTAGATGACCGCTATCCCCTTCCAAATATCACTGACATACTTGACAAACTAGGACGATGCAACTATTTTACCACTTTAGATCTCGCCTCCGGCTTTCATCAAATTGAACTTCACCCAGACTCCATTCCCAAAACGGCTTTTAATGTCGAAAATGGACATTATGAATTTGTCAGATTACCCTTTGGATTAAAAAATGCCCCCAGTACATTCCAGAGAGTTATGGACGATGTACTCAAAGAGCTTCAAGGAAAAGTATGTCTCGTTTATATGGATGACATAATAATATTTTCCAACAGTCTCCAGGAACACATATCTAATCTGAGAAAAGTGTTTCACAAGCTTAAAGAAGCAGGGTTAAAAATTCAATTGGACAAATGCGAATTTTTATGCAAGTCCGTAGAATTTTTGGGACACGTTGTGACTCCCGAAGGCATAAAGCCTAACCCGAAGAAAATCGAAGCAATTAGGAAATTTCCCATTCCTAGAACTGCCAAAGAGATCAAATCTTTCTTAGGTCTCATTGGTTATTATAGAAAATTTATCAACAATTTCGCTCATTTGACAAAGCCCCTTACTCAATGCCTCAAGAAAAATGTAAAAATTCAACATACACCCCAATTCATCAAGTGTTTTGAAACTTGTAAAAATATTTTGATGAATGACCCCATATTACAGTACCCAGACTTCACAAAACCGTTCAATATTACAACAGACGCTTCAAATTTTGCTATTGGCGCTGTTCTTTCACAAGGTACGATTGGTAAAGATCTCCCAATTGCATACGCAAGCAGGACCTTGAATCCAGCTGAATGCAATTACTCTACTACCCAAAAGGAATTATTAGCCATAGTTTGGGCAGTACAGTATTTCCGTCCCTATGTTTTTGGCACTAAATTCAATATAATTAGTGACCATAAACCTCTACAATGGTTGTTCTCAATCAAAGAACCCAGTTCCATGCTTGTTAGATGGCGCTTAAAATTGGAACAATACGACTATAAAATTATTTACAAGAAAGGCAGTTTTAATACTACGTATAATGCCGATGCCCTATCACGAGTAGAAATTCACCCCCTTGACCTAGTGACAGACAATCTTTCAACTTTAGGAAACTTTGACAGCTCAGAACCTTTTAACATTGACGACATTCTTAACGACGTTTTCCCAAGTCACTCAGAGACCCTACCGACATTACCAAATGACTTTGGAGACATTTTAGAGACTTTCGATAATCACCAATCTCCGGATGACGATAGTAATACCAATCTTCATCATCAATCATCATCCAATCCTAAACCAAAAATTAAAGTTCTCCAAAACATTCTTATCCGTCCCTCAGAAAAAGTCCGCTCAGACAGTGAGACAGTTCATAGTTCTTTTGAAAATCCGATAATAGAAATCCCATATACAGACAAAGTATTAAACATCCACCAAAACCAAGTTATTTTAGGCATATCACCCTGTAAATTATTTCAATGCCACTTTGAGAAAATTTTCAAAAAGAAAAGGCATACATTTTTAGTTAGGAAAGATTTATTAGATGTAAGCAAAATAAATGAACTAGAAGAAATTTTCGCTAAGCTAATTAAAGAGTATATCAGACCTAATCAACACTACTGCGTATATTTTAAGAATTTAGATTTAGAAAAACCA